TGCGCCTCCTAATCCTGAAAGCTTGTTCGCAGTCTGTAAGAAACAAGTCAGCAGGGCGCTGGAATACTCACCACTTGGTAAGCGCAGCTCCAACAACATTCATGAAGCTTGGCAGAATGCAGGACAGTGCAGCCTGCCTGAATGACACTACATCCACAAACTAATCTCCCTCAACCACCGTTGCACAATAGCACCATCTACTAGTCATTCTGCAGAACTTCAACAAGGTTCATTACAGAACACCTTCCTAACCCACAACCATGACAATCTAGAAGGACAAGGGAGTGGACAGATGGGAACACCAACACCTACAAGTTCCTCTCCAAGCCACTCACTATCCTGACTTGGAAAGATATTGCTGTCCCTTCACAGTTCCCGGTTTGAAATCTTGGAACTTCCTCCCTAACAGATTGTGAACGCAATTGCACCAAATGGGCTGCAGTGGTTTAAGACAGCTCAACATCACCTGCTCAAGGACAATTAGGGATGGGAAATTGATGCTATCCCAGCAAGCGAGGCCCATACCTTTCAATGAATTAAAGAAATGTAATTATTTTATACAACACAATTCTTATGACAGCTTTAACAAGTTAATACTGTGGTTTGTAGCTTATTTATATCATTTCTAATATATTTTCAGCCCTATAACGTCATAGCTCAGAACATAAGAACACTAGAGCTAGAAGTAGGAGTAGGTAATTAAACCTCCCCCAAGCCTGCTCCACCATTTAATACGATCACGGCTGATCTCATCTCAGCCTCAACTCCACTTTCCTGCCCACTTCCTACAATCTTTTAACCCACTATTAATTAAAAATCTATTTTTCTCCCCCCTAAATTTATTCAGTGTCCCTGCATTCACCGCATTCTGGTGTAGTAAATTCCACAGATTCATAACGCTTTTAGAGGAGTAATTCCCCTATGACTTAGCCTAAAACTATGACTTCTCATTCTATGTTGCCAAAAGAGGAAACATCTGCTCCACACTTATTTTGTCAATCCATTTTAAGATCTTAGATCTCCTCTCATCCTTCTAAACTCTAGTGAGTATAGGCCTAAACTGCTCAATCTCACTTCAAAACATGGCTTTCAAGCCTTCTGGAATTAATCTACTGAATCTTCTCTGAACTTCCTCCAATGCAATTACATCCTTTCTCCAGTTAGGGGACCAAACTGTACTCAGTACTTCAGATGTGGACTCACCAATGCCTTGTCGAGTTGCAACAACAATCCCCTGCTTTCATACTCCGTTTCTTTAGCAAAAAATTCCAAAATCCCATTTGGCCTATCACCTGCTGTATCTGCATACTAGCTTTCTACAACTCATGCAAAAGAACACCCAGGTTCCTCTGCACTGAAGCACTTTGAAGTTTCTCTCCATTTAGATAATAAGTTCCCTTTTATTCTTCAAACTAAAATGAATAACTTCACAATTATGCACGTTAAACTCCACCGGCCAAATTTTGGCCCATTCACTTAACGTAACCAAATGTATTTGAAATTTTCTTATTTTTTTCACTGTAATTCACATGCCCACCTACTTTAGTGCCATCCTCAAATTCGGCCATAGCACATTTTCAGAACCCTATGGCACCCCACCAATTCAGCTCACCAACCAGAAAAAGATCCATTTAGCCTGACTCTCTGCTTTCTGTTGGCTAGCTAATCCTCTATCCAAGCTAATATATTACCCCTAATGCCATGTGATCTTATCTTGTTTGTTAACCCTTTGTGCAGCACCTTATCAAATGCCTTCTGAAAGTCCAGAAATACTCCACCTACAGGACTCCATTATCTATTTTGCTTGTTACATTTTCAAAGAACTTTAGCAAATTAGTCAAACATAATTTATCCTTCATAAAATCACGCTGATTCTGATGGATTGCGTTTTGACTTTCCAAATGTCCCGTTACCACCTCCATAATAATGGATTCGAACAATTTCCCTACAACAAATGTTAACTTAACTGGTCTGAAGTTTCCTACTTTGTGTCTCTCTCCCTTTTTGAATAAGAGTGTTACATTAGCATTGTTTCATCCGCTGGAGCTTTTTCAGAATCCAGGGACTTTTTGAATATCGGAATACATTTGGTTTGTATTATGAGGAAAGATTGAGCAATTTAGGCCTATACTTACGAGAGTTTAGAAGGTTGAGTGGAGAGCTAATTGAAGTATATAATAAATAGCTAACAAAAAAACAGATTGAACTACTAAATTATATGAAAGTTATTTAGACTGGAAATTCAAAAATTTGTTTTTTCAATAAAAGGGTACCTGTACTTTGTAACAGTTATTAGAACACACTGCAGTTATAATTTAAATTATATTTACATAGCAACATGCAAAAATGTGTTGGCATGCATTATGTATGTTGTATCCTATGAAATGTAACTCTATGATCTTGGTTCTGCGGAAGGGTCACCTGACCTGAAACGTTAACTCTGTTTTCTCCTCCACAGATGCTGCCAGACCTGCTGAGCTTTTCCAGCAACTTTGTTTTCGTTCGTCCATGATCTTGGGTTTTTTGCAGGAATCACATCAAAAGCAAGCCTTGCTTCAAGAATCAAGGCTATGCCATCTCATACTCTGTTTCCTTCAAACATGGTTTCTCCAATGGAAGTGACTTAATTTGATTTATTACTGTCACATGTACCTAGGTACAGTGAAAAGTTCTGTTTTGCGTTCAGAACAGGCAGATCATACCATACAACATGCAGTAGGGTAACAGAACAGAGCAAAGAATACAATGTTATGGCTGCAGAGAAGGTGTGGGAAAAGCAAGATCAACATTAAATTTAAAATTTGAGAGGACCATTCAGAAGCCTGATAACAGCAGGGAAGAAGCTGTTCTTGAATCTGTTGGTACATTTAAGCTTTTATATCTTCTGCCTGATGGAAGCGGTTGGAAGAGATTATAACCAGGGTGGGAGGGGTCTTTGATTATGTTGCAGAATCACAGACATTTTCCTAACAATGTATAAAGTAACAAAAACATATTTTCATACATGAGGAATATTACCGCAATGACTATTTCAAAGCTTGACATAGCACCAAACTGAGTACTAGAGAAATACTAGGTGGCAGTAGCATACCTTTTGCTGTTTCTCACCTTCACTGACTTGGAATCTAGTAGGTTACTGGGAAGGTCAGCCTTTCCTTCATAGGGATAGAAAGGGAGCACTGCACAGCATGCAGGGCACAGAAAGAGGTCAGGAAATTAAAAAGTAAGCTTCAGGTATTTATCACAAACCACTAAATATATTGGAAAGAAAATCAAAATTAGGTTCAGTTACAAAGTTGCTGATCTCCATGCAGAATGTAAATTTAAATTTAACATGGAATGACATGTAATATCAGGAAAGCTATTAGTAAAGTCAGTAGAAGGAAGAGGAACAACTGTTGTCAAACAAAGCACACAACCAATCTTAGCGTAACAACAGCAATGACAAGTTCTGGTTTACATACTCCAGAAGCGCCCAGTAATGTTTAGTGTTGCTAGCTTAGCAGTTTGAAAACATACTACAAGGATAGCAATTTGATTTCCACTAATGTTCCTTACAAGAATTACAATTTAATGTGACTTTGTCTTGAGTATACTGAAATCATGTTCAAATACTCCACATGGTTCAATGAAAAGTTGAGAGGATACAACAATAGCCAATCATCATGAGAAGTGACGTTTCAGATGTAGGGTGTAGAACATCGTCAGTTGTTACCATGTATAGCCAATTATAAAACAGGCGTAACGTTTTTATTATGAATATTTAGACTAATTAAAGAACTTGTCATAACATGAGTGAGTAGCAGAGCAAGATAAGCTTTTTTTGTTCTATTTTAACCTTCTTCATATTTTCCTAAATTGCTGCTTCCCAAAACATACCTATGAATAATACCTGATTGTATATTCTTGCTACATCTATATTGGAATTTTCCATTTAAACCCTATTAAATTCATGACATAATTTTCCTCCGAGTTGAAGATTACCAATTACCAAATTGCAAGAGGTTGTGACGCAGTGGTAATTTCACTAGACTAGTAATCCAGAATTCAAGGCAAATATTCTCAGGACATGGGCATGATTCGCAGATGGTATAATGTGAATTAAAGTAAAATCTGGAATTTTTTAAAAAATGTCAGTCTAATGGCAACCTTGTAATCACTGTTGGTTGTCATAAAAACTTTCTGGTTCATGAATGTCCTTGAGGGGAAGAAATAAATGCTGTCCTAGCCAGTGATATGAGCACGTCATGAAAGAATAAAGAAACAAATGATTGACTACATATCCCCGAGATTTTGCTTTTGTTTTTGGTTTGAGCAATTTAATTTTCAGATGTTTTTCGTTGCCTCAGGTGTGGATTTTCAATCTTTAATTACTGCACATTTTGCATTTACCTTTCCAACCATATGTTGTAATTCTCATATCTTTTTGTCACCTTGTGTTGTTGATTCTGTCTGTTTATACATAGTATGGGTGCCTTTAATTCAACTGCAGAAAATCAGAACATTTTGTTCAGTGTTATTTAGTACAAAGTCAAACTGATAAGCTCAGTTAAATGTCTTGGTTCATTTTGCAACCAGTCAGTCCTCTTCCTTTATGGATTCTTCACGACTGTGTCTTCCTATTTTTGACATGAAAACTGTTCAACATTTAAATATATTTCTTAATAGAAAACTTACTGAAATAGTAAAATTATACTTACAAAAGGAAGTTTAATGCAAGTTATAATTGAGATAACTGCAACAAAAGTTTGGTTAAAACAAGCAGCAAATGTACCAATACAGTACTTACATAGAAAGTTAGTCTGACAAGTTTGTCACCACAAATATCTTAAATTGGCTTTCTCTTTCTAATTAATTAATAATAAATTAATTGATGTGGTTGAAAATGGAAATCTCACGAACAGATTTTCTTTTAGCTATTCTGGAACCTAATAATGGTTATGAATGCAGTGAGTGCCAGTGTTAAAAAACTACATCTGAAACAGAATTATAATTGTTACCTTGGACAAATCAGTTTCTTTTTGGTCAGGAACAGAACATTGTTTCACACACCAATCTTGTTTACTTAGAAAGGCAGTGTCCTTTGTGTCTTTAACTTCTATGCATGCGTCTTCAATTGCACTGCTGTCTTCATTTCCTTGAAATTCTTCCCTTTCAGGGCCACAGGAACTTGCCTCTTGCAGCTGTAGACTTTTGACAAAGAGTTGACAGGCGTCTAAGTCTGCTTCCCACACTTTTGCAAGCACCTGATTTCCACAACTAAAACAAAAGCCAATAAAAGTTAGGCATGCCCTCAAAAAGCTGACAGTTACATAATAAATAACCTTTCTGAAGTTCAGAGTGAAAAGCTCTAGATTATTATTTCCAGTATATTATTATATAATTAATCACATAAATACAATTTTAGTCTTGATACTCTACTAGCATACTGTGATGAACTTTGGCTCAATTTTACCTTGTTTTAATTATTATGTGTGACTTGTGTCACCGACGTTGGCTCTGTGGTGGGGTGACTTATAGAACTTTACATTGTATTTTTCATGTAAAAGTACACCTGATAATAAATTTATATTCTATTCTATTCTACTATCAATCCACTTTAGATATTGCATCAAAAATTGAAGGAGGCAGAATAACTGGAGCAGGAAATGCTTACACATGGACATCAGGTTATAACGAGTGTTTTATGAAAATAAGGTTTGCAATCATCTAGTATCTATTAAGTATGTCAGAAATGAGTCATTATACCCCAAGAAGTGGATTTCTGCGTCAGCAAAGAAGCCAGTCATTTTCTATACAGCAATAACATTCAAACAGCAATTAGCTGAGAGGCAATTTTGATGTGAAAGTAAAGATTAACTTTTTCAATATTGTCTTCAAATATTTTAGTTCATTTTAAACATTCATAACATGTCATTACTTAATTTGCGAATACTCACCACAAAAAACCTTTTAGAACTATGATGGAATTTTACTTGCATTACATAAGTGAAATTTACTTACATTAGGAAATATTTTCAAAATCAAATTAATACAAAATATTTCTAAGTTTATGGTTGTTATGGTAAGAATTGGGAGGTTCCAAGCTTGTCTTTTTCTATTATAATGAAATACCTTAGAATTTCAAATACATGTTCTCCTAGTCATAATTAGTTTGTTTAAATTAGACAATCTAATTCTTTTCCATTAAATCGTGGATATCAAGAACCAAGAATACACTTTAAGCAACAATTCAGTATGATTTGTGTTCCTAAGGACAGGAACACAAAAATAGAAGTAGGCTATTTAGCTCCTCAAACTTACTTCATTATTTAATGAGACCATGGCAATCTGTGACTTGATTCCAAATATCTGCCTTTGCCCTATACCCCTTAATAACATTTCTCAGAAATAAAAGTAATAAAAGACTTTTTGAAGAATTTTCCAAACTTCTCTCAAAGTTTACATGCAGAAGCGTTTCCCAACTTCACTCCTGAAAGTTCTGGCTCTAATTTTAAAATCCCTACAGTGCAGAAAGAGGCCATTCAGCCCAACAAGTCTGCACTGACCTCCAAAGAGCATTCCACCCAGATTCACCGCTCCATCTTATCCTCGTAACCCGACATGGCATACTTAACCATGGCTAACCAAGCCAACCTGCACTTTCTTGGACACCATGGGGCCGTGTTTTTTTTTTAGCATAGCCGATTCACCTAACCAGCACATCTTTGAAGTGTGGAAGGAAACCAGAGCACCCGGAGCACCACACAGACAGGGGGAGAATGTGCAAGCTCCATACAGACAGTTGCCCAAGGCTGGAATCGAACCCGGGTCCCTAGCACTGTGAAGCAGTAGTGCTAATCAGTGTGCCACCATGTTAAAGAAACTGTATAATTTGAAGTGATGGTTTATTATATACACATTTCATTTAGTTAGTGAAATATTTAGTATTTCCTTTTATTCAAGGAATATGACATTGTAATCCAATGTTAGTGTTTTCATATATTGTATTGTCACATCAAAGGTTAGATGCAGATTGAAGGCAGACAGCCAACAATGCTAAATATAGCTTCTTAAATGTTCATAGGTTAGAGGAAAAAAACACATTTCAACTCATTTTCACATGGATAAAGAAGGCACAAACAGTACAATTATAAGTTATATTTAAATGTGCAAAGCCAAATGTTTCGTAAAACTAAATATACATGAAAATATCATAACAAATGGTAGCGACTTTATTTAGTAAGTATACATGAAAGCTTTGACAGCTATCGTGTCAGTTCTCAAAAGTACTTTATAAAGTGAAAGAAGGACATTTCGTACTGCATTTTCCCTCTCCTTGGGCAGAAATGTATCTGCAGCTTACAACATAGAAGTTTCCTTCATCAGAGGAGAGACTTTGTGTCCTTAAAAACAAGACTTCACCTTAAAGTTTTGCAAGTGTGGCTGGTAAGGTACAGTCATGTCTTGCCTTGTTGCAAACAGCTAAAGGGATGTGTTGTTTGATACGATCTATCAATCTTTGAAACGTACGGCCTACATCCGCCACACTGGCATTGAAATTCATATATCATATTACTCATGTGTGATAAATGGAGCATCTTTTCAGCTTGACAGCAGCATCCTGTTACTGGCAAACACCATACATGTTGCAATTGCATAGCAGGACTGTGAGAGTTAGCTTCACCTGTTGCTCAAACTTTTCAGATGCCTCACCTTCCACAGTAATCTGAAGTATTGGGCAATTTTCAGAACCAAGAGTGACTTCCTTAGGGCCTTTCATGAGTTTGCGTAAGAAATAACAAGAAATGATGTGATCAGGGTAACCATTTTTTCACCAATACTAAAGTTCTGTACTACCAAATGACTATTGATAAAAATATGTATAAATCAAAATGTCAAATTCTATAGATTGCTATCAATATCCAAAGAAAGCCTTACTTATAAAGCTTGTCTTCTAGGGCTTTCATATATTTAATAATATTTTCCTTCAGGTTCTTCTCTGTGAATGAAAACAAAATAAGAATGACAGATATGACATAGTTGTTTTGGCGACCATAATAACATAGAACATTTGCATGTATTGACATTCTGTACCTTTCAATCTTCAAAATAATTATGAATAAATATCAAGTTAAAAGTTATTCCAAGCTTGACAATATAATCTGATTCACAACCATCAACAGAAATGAACATATTGCGTATTTTGTAACTGCATACAATTAAACGGGTAGAAATTGCAGTGGGATAACAAGGTGTAGAGCTGGATGAACACAGCAGGCCAAGCAGCATCAGAGGAGCAGGAAAGCTGACGTTTCGGGCCCAGGCCCTTCTTCAGAAATGGGGAAGGGGAAGGGGATTCTGAAATAAATAGGGAGAGAGGGGGAGGCAGATAGAAGATGGATAAAGGAGAGGATAGGTGGAGAGGTGACAGACAGGTCAAAGAGGCGGGGTGGAGCCAGTAAAGGTGAGTGTAGGTGGGGAGTTGGGGAGTTAGGGAGGGGATAGGTCAGTCCAGGGAGGACGGACAGGTCAAGGGGGCGGGATGACGTTAGTAGGTAGGAGATGGGGGTGGGGCTTGAGGTGGGAGGAGGGGATAGGTGGGAGGAAGGACAGGTTAGGGAGGTAGAGACATGCTTGGCTGGTTTTGGGATGCAGTTAGGGGAGATTTTGAAGCTTGTGAAGTCCACATTGATACCACTGGGCTGCAGGGTTCCCAAGTGAAATATCAGATGCTGTTCCTGCAACCTTCGGGTGGCATCGTTGTGGCACTGCAGGAGGCCCAGGATGGACATGTTGTTCAAGGAGTGGAAGGGGGAGTTGAAATGGCTCGTGACTGGGAGGTGCAGCTGTTTGTTGCAAACCTATCCTAGGTGTTCCACAAAGCCGTCCCCAAGCCTCCGCTTGGTTTCCCCGATGTAGAGGAGGCCACCTCTGGAACAGCGGAAACAGTATACCACATTAGCAGATGTGCAGGTGAACATCTGCTTGATGTGGAAGGTCTTCTTGGGGCCCGGGATGGGGGTGAGGTGGGAGGTGTAGGGACAGGTGTAGCACTTCCTGCGGTTGCAGGGAAAAGTGCCGGGTGTGGTGGGGCTGGAGGGGAATGTGGAGCGGACAAGGGAGTCACGGAGAGAGTGGTCCCTCCGGAAAGCAGATAAGGGTGGGGAGAGAAAAATGTATTTGGTGGTGAGGTCGGATTGTGATGTCGATAATCCTGTTGGTACTTTCCAAGTGTCCTGTTATCACATTCTTTATATTAGATGCCAACATTTTCCCTTACTGAACTTTCCTCTTTCTTCCTTTTAAATTATTCCTATTTCAGTTACATTAAAATATTTGAAGTTCCTGTTATGGTTTGTGCAACTTTCTGTATTTTTTCTACAAATATCTCTTCCATATGTTTACCCCTTGTTATCACAGTAAAAGGAGTGCATTTAGAACAGTGACTTTCATGATATCCCCAAGTCATACAGTCTATGAAAAACCTGCAAAATTGAATCAGAACATAGAACAGTACAGCACAGTACAGGCACTTCGGCCCAAGATGTGAATCACTATCACAATATGCAACTTGCACACAGTAAGACTCCATGTCTTCTTCTGAGACACTCCATTGGGATTGAGGATGACTTTCTTCATCTCTAGTGTTGCGGTTACTGAGGCAGCAAAACCGTTCAATACTGGATCCATAAACCCTGCCATAGGTGAGGTAGGTAACAGTTGCTAAAGCAGGTAGGTGGGTTTCTTGGGTTTTTGCATACTCCTTCTGCTACTTGCATTTGGCCTCCAACTGGGCCTGTTGGAAATGCTTAAAATGGTTGACTTTTTCGCAGATGCAGTTTCAAATTTAGCATGCTTGGGTTAAAGATTCCCACGAGTCAGTGGGGATATTGCATTTTGTCAAGGTGGTTTTGAGGGTATCCTTGAAGCATTTCCCTGCCCTCCTGGTCATGATGAAACTTGAAATAGTTTAATTACTTTCCTTCCCACCACTCCAGTGTCTTGCTGGCATGTAATAAAAACAGCAAGTGCTGGAAAAGCTCGGGAGGTCTACTGGCATCTCTGGAGTGAGAAACAGAGATAATATGACTCTTCTTCGGAACTGGGATGGCACAGTGGCTCAGTGGTTAGCACTGCTGCATCAAAGTGCCAGGTACCCAGGTTCAGTTTGTGCAGTTTGTGTGCAGTTTGCACATTCTCCCCGCATCTATGTGGGTTTCTACCGGGTGCTCTGGTTTCCTCCCACAGTCCAAAGATGTGCGGGTTAGGTGTATTGGCCACGCTAAATTGCCCATAGTGCCTAGGAGTGTATAAGTTGGGTAGATTAGCCATGGGACATGTAGGGTTACAGGAAAAGGGTACTGCGATGGGCCTGGGTGCGATGTTCTTCAGAGGTGCGGTATGGTATTGTTGGGCCAAATGGTGTGTTTCCACACTGCAGGAATTCTCTGATTCTGTGAACTGGACTCAGAATATTATGAGTGCGTTTGCCACAGGGAAGACATCAGGAGAGCCACTAATTTGTGGTATCTATCAAGTCAAATTCATGTTTATTAAATGGTTTTTCTGGCATTTCTATTGATGCTTCAGTGGCTGAATTCTATAAACACTCTGATAACTGCAGAAGATTGAACTTCTCCTTCACTGTGTCAGTTCTGAAGCCACTTGTACACTAATTTGGAGAATAATTACTCTCATTGCTTTCTAACATTTCTGCGTTATTGTTTTTTCACTGTCTTTCTGCTACCCCTAACCCTACATTTCCTTTTCACCATAATTCTTCTGCTTACTGTTCTCTGTCCTCTTCTCACAAAGATACTCTGGTCCCTAAGATGTAGAAGCAGATTAAGGCTGCACCATTTGATCATGGCTGCTATGTTTCTCAAACCCACTCTCTGCCTTGTCCCCGTAACTCTTGTTCCCCTTACCAATCAGAATCTATCTTTGACTTAAATACACTTAATGACTTGGCCTCCACAGCCTTCTGCGCAATGAGTTCCACAGATTTACCACCTGCTGTCTGAAGAAATTCCTGTCATTTCAGTTCTAAAGGGTTGTCGCTTCATTCTAGCGGAAACATTCTGTCAATGTCGACTCTATTCAGGTCTCTCAATATTCTACAAGTTTCAATCTGATCCCCCTCATTGTCTAAACTCCATCGAGTACAGACTTAGAATCCTCAACCGCTCCTCATATGACATGCCTTTCATTCCAGGGATCATTTCTGCAAACCTCCTCTGGACCCCCTCGAAGGCCAGCATATCCATCATCCTTTATTGGTTGCAAAATAGGTGACTGGCAACTTAAAACTTGATAGGAATTCTGTACATCTATTGACCTGAATCAACTGTTAGCAGGCCTTTACATAGTTGCCCAGCACTCGTTCCCAAAACAGAAAGCAAGCTTTTTAGTTAGGAAAATCAGAATCCTACTACACCTGTTGTGGGATCTTAATTATCACTTTCAGAAAGGGGGAGAACCTGCCCAAATGTGATCTTTAAAGGGAAGTTGAAGGTCCCTTACACTTAATGAGATCCAAAACAGGAAGCAATTTGAAGCTTTCAAATTCCAGGTTGAGTAATGGAAGCAATGGGATTTAATTTGATGTCTTAGTAAGTGCTTACATCTATTACATTAGGGTGGCCCATTCAGTCAATGGCTGTATATGAGAACCTTTACCTTCGAGAGCACAGTCAGTTTTACTTGTGTCTCATATAACCAATACAGGAAAAAAGTCAGAGGTCAAGAAATAAATGGCAAAGTTTAATCCCTTGATTGATTTAAAGAATGAAAATTCCGTCAAAAATGTGCAGGCCAATTTCAAAGAAGTCTTCTGTACCGCAAGTGTACTTGGTCTATTAAGTTGTTGACTGTCTTGTATTCTGCTATGAATACAGATAGTATAAATTATCATGTAAAATTAAATCATTCCCTTGGGTTATATTTACCCAACGTTAATAAGTGACTTGTTATAATATATTGTATGCCCACTTTGCTATATGTTGCAATCACAAGAGTTTGAAAATTAGATAGCCGTATTAACACACCCGTCAACAAAAAACTAGAACTCACCAAATAAATTTTCTCTTTGTTCCAGTTGAGCCCTCAGGCTATTATACTCTTCCCTGATGGTTTCAAATTGTTGAGCCTTCTTAATACTAAAATCTTGCAGGTCACTGATAAGTTCTTCAAGTCCAATTTTCTTGGAAGTCAAAGATTTGATCTCTTCAGCAAGGGCCTTCGCAGTGGAGAATTCATGCCCTGCAGAAACATCAACTTATTTTTTAATTGCAATATTAATTTAGTTGAATTTCCTAAGGATAATTAGCATACAAAATTTGACATTAAGCTTCATAAAGTATTATTAGGGCTAAAAGCATGGTCAAAGAAGTAGTTTAAGAAGTGAGGTCGGGTAGAAGAAATGCTGAGGGACACATGTTTACAGAGCAAAACTGACCAAAGGTTTGATAAGAAGTAGATTTGATGGGATACGTTAAAAAAAAAACACGTCGAGACAAACAGGTTTAGGAAAGAAATTCAAGAGCTCAGGGCCAAAGACACAGTCACCAACAGTGGAATGAATACAATCAGAGACGCTTAAGAGATCAGAATTCGATGAATATCTATACCTTAGAATGTAATAGAGCTGGAAAGATAACAGACATATGGAGGGTGAGGCAATGGTGGAATTAAAGTCAAGCATGAGAAGTTTAAAATCATGGCACTACTTAACCAGGAATCAATGTCAATCACTGAGGTGATGGGTGAGCAGGTTGGTCTGTGTGACCTAAAAAATGCACAGGGTAAATCTAGAGGTGACAGGTGTGCATGACTATTTCAGTAGCAATGAACTGCACTGGGGTACAGATAATGTTATGAAAATGGGAAGAATATGTCTTAGTAATGATATAGGTAACAGGAACATGGGAAAATAGGAACAGATGTAGGCCATTCAGCCCACCAACCCGGTTCCATCATTCAATTAGATCACGACTGATAATCTACCTCAATGCCATTTTCCTGCATTATCCCCATATTCCTTGATGTCATTAGTCTCCAGAAATTTATTGATTTCTGTTATGAATCCACTAATTGATCGATTCCATAGCTCTCTAGGGTAAAGAATTCCAAAAATTCACCACACTCCAAGAGAAGAATTTCCTCCTTATCTCAGTCTTAAATGGCCTATCCAAGATCCTGAGATTATAGGAAGCTAGGTGAAGGAGATAACCCTAGTTCGGTAGATCAGGATGTTAAATCCATTAAGATGAAGAAGAGGAATAGTAGAGAGAAGAAGTCATCAGTCAGCCCCTGACAATAATCACAGAGTGAGACAAGTATACACGAATAAATACCGGTTGCTGGTGATCAAAAAATAGAATTAATCAGGGTGATTTTAGACTACATATAAACTGTAAAAATCAGATTGACAATAGATTTGAGACAGTTTCTTAGAGTGGCATGTTCTGGAACTGACCAAAAAGAGCAGGCTTTGGTTTTGTGTAATGTGACAGAATTAATTAATGCCCTCAGAGTAATGACACCCTTATTTTAGCAACCACAACATGACTGAATTTTACATCATAAGATTATATGACATAGGTGCAGAAGTAGGCCATCTGCTCTTCAAATGTGCTTCCACATTCAATGAGATTTGCATAACTAATCTGATAACTCTCTACTCCACTTTCTTGCCTTTTCCCATACCTTAAATCCCTTAAAGATTAACCAATCTGTCCATCCCAGTCTTGAATATATTTAGTGACCCAGCCTCAACAACCCTATGTGGTAAAGAATTCCACAGATTCACAGCCCTCACAGAAGAAATTCCTCATCTGTTTTAAATGTACATCCCTTACTCCAAGATTATTTTCTCCGGGCCTAGAATCGTCCACACCTACTTTGTCAAGTTCTCTAAATCTTCCAATTTGAAAGGGGGAAGGTTGGGGTTAACACAAGCATTTTAAACCTATATAATGGCAACCATGTCGGGTGGCAGCTGTGTTATCTGAAGTGAACCAGTATACTAGGCTAGTTGATAGAGACGAAGCTAGCTGATAGACCAATAAAGACGCAGTGACATACAGATAGTTCAGAATATTCAAAATAAGTATATTCATACTATAAAGAATAATCCTAAAGGGACAACCTACTATCTATCGTTAACTAAAGAATTTAGGGACAGCATCAGATTTAGGGGAAAAGCATATATCTTTGCAAAGATGAGTGATAGGTCAAATGATTGGTCAGAATGTTAAAAAAGAGAATGCTAAAATCTTCTTCAGGGAAGAAATTAGATTCTGAGAGGAAGCTTGCTAGGAACATAAAGACAGGCAGAACAATTTATACAGGTATTTAAAATGGAAAAGAGTAAGCAAAGTGAGATTTGGTTCTCAAGTGAGTGAGAATGGACAGTTAATAGTAGATATTAAGGAACTAGCAGATGAAATGAACAAATATTTTGTTTCTGTCTTCACTATAAAGGAAAGAAAAAATCCCATTAGTAGCAGATCAGCAGATAGAAAGGAGATAGAGAACTTAGTGAAATTACGTTAATGAGGGAAGCAATGCCAAGCAAACTGATGGAGCTACGGGTAGACAAGTCTTTGGGACAGGTTGGACTTTATCTTAGAATATTAAAACAGGTGGCTAATAAGCTTGCAGATGAGCTGGCAGGAAGAATAAAAAAGTAGAGTATTACTTCAATAGGGGATGGCTGAGGCGCAAGTGTTACTTAAGTATGTTATTGGATGAGGCAGAAGATTTCGCAGAAAATTGGTGGGGTGGTAAATCATGAGGAGTATGGCCTTTGTTCAAAGAAGGATATAAACAAGCTGGTCTGATGGGCTGATCAGTAGCAAATGGAATTCGATTTGGCTAAGTATGAGGTGATGCATTTGGGCAGGATAAACAAGGCAAAGGAATACATGCTTGGAGCCTGGCAAACACCAAGGATCAGAAGAGCCTTGACGTACATGTCTAATGCTACCTTAAGTTAGCTGGACAGGTAGACAATATAGTTAAGAAGGTGTATGGGATATTTGCCCTTATTAGCTGAGGCAAAGTTTAAGAGCAGCGAGGTTATCCTGGAATTTTATAAACCGTTGGCTAGGCCACAGCTACAGTACTGTGTGCAGTTCTTGAATTCCCATTATAGGAGGCATGTGATTGCACTGGAGAGGGTGCAGAGGAGATTTACCATGGTGTTGCTTCGGCTGGAGAATTATGAAGGGGGACTGGATAGACTGGATAAACTGTCTTCCTTGGAAAGAAGGAGACCGATTGAGATGTACAAAATAATGAGTTGCATATTTAGGGTAGACAAGAAGGAACTTTTCCCCTTGGTGGATGACTAGGGGGTATAGATTTAAAGTAAGGGACAGGAGGTTTAGAGAGGATGTGAGGAAAGATTTTTTCACCTACAGAGTGGTGGGAATCTGGAACTTACTGCCTGTGAGGGTGGTAGAGGCAGAAAATTTCTACATTTAACAAGTTTTTGAGATGTGCATTTGCAATGCCAAGTCATACAAGGCTATGGACCAAGAGCTAGAAAATGGGATCAGAATAGTTAGGTGCTTGTATTTGACAGGCACAGACTTGATGGGACAAAGGGCCTTTTTCTGTGCTGTAGATGTCTTTGATTCTAAAATGTTAGAATGCAGGTAAAGGATATAATCAAGAAGGCTAATGGAATACTATTCTTTATTACAAGAGGAAATTAACATAAAAGGATGTTATGGCTTTGTTATAGAGGGCACTGGTGAAACCACATTTCAAGTGTTTTTGGTTCCCTTCTTTACAGAAGAATATAAATGCATTGGCTGCAGGTCAGAGGAGGTTTAATGGACTAATATATCTAGAATGAGTGGTTTATCTTAAGAAGATCAGTTGGACATGCAAGGCTTGTTTCCAATGCAGTTTAAAAGAGTGAGGAGTGATTTGATTTAAGTGTATAAGATCCTGAATGGTCTTGACAAGGTGAACATGGAAATGATATTTCCTGTTGTGGGTCAATCCAGAATGAGGGGGTACTGTTTTAAAATTAGGAGTTGCCTTTTAGGATAGAAGTGAGGAGAAATGTTTCCTCTTGGAGGGTTGCACTACAGTGGGACTCTGCCTCAAAAGGCTGTGAGGGCAGGTCATTAGATATTTTTAAGAAAAAAGTAGATAGATTCTTGTCAGACAAGGGAATCAAAGGTGATCAAGGGTAGACAGGAATTTCGAAGCACAAACAGATCAGCTATGACCTTACTGAATTGTGGAACAGGCTCAGAAGGCTGAAAACGTCTACTTCGGCTATTTCATATGTTCACAATATCCACAGATTTTGGACTTATCAGCCAAGGGAAACATCTACGTTCACTCTGTCAGGCCCTGTAAGCATTTTATAAGTTTAAACGAGCTGACCCTTCATTTTTCAATACTATTGGGAATATAGACCCAGTCAGCTCAAATCTTCCCATGAGATAATCCCACCATCCCAGGGATTAATCTGCTGCATTCTTTACATTGTAGATATATCTCTCCTTAGATAAAAGAACCAAAACTGTCCACAGTATTTCAGATGAGATCTCAGCCAAGCCTCTGCATAACTGCAAGACATCTTTACTCGTGTTCTCAAATTTACTTGTGATGAAGGTTAACATACCATTTCCTAATTGCTTTCTCAACCTGCATGCCAACTTGAAATGACTAGTATACAAGAACACTAAAGTCCCTTGCTCAACAGCTTCTCACCATTCAAGAAATATTCTGCCTTTCTGTTTTTTTCCAACAATGTAAATACCTTCACACTTATTAACATTATTTTCAATCTTCCATTCTTTAGCCCATTCACTTAGCTTATCCAACTTCTCTTGAGAACTCCATGTATCCACCTCACAATATGCATTCCCTACCAGCTTGGATTTGCAAATTTGGAAATATTACAATTAGTCTCCACATCCAAATCATTTATATTGATTGTGAACAGTTGCAGACAACCACAAATTCTTGTAGTTTCCCACGAGTAACAGCCAACCAACTGGAGAATGATCAATCTATTCTTTGCTTTCTGCCTGTTAACCAATTCGCAAATCACACCAGTAAATTTCCCCCAATTCATGTGCTCAAATTTTATTTACTAACATTCTATCTTGGACCATAGCAAAAGTCTTCTAAAAATCCAAATACACCACATCGTCCTCATCATTGTTACAAGTAATAACAATGTAGCAAGTTTGTCAAACATAAATTCCGTTTCATTGTGAGCTGAATACCAAAACTAAAACAAAAGGGAATAACACGTTACCTCTGGTAAGTAAATTTTACCAATTGGGTAAGTGATCCACTGCTTCAATTTTCTCATCTTATCTATGTATTCGTTTAAGTTCAGCAACAGCAGCCTGCTGTAAGTGACACTAGCATCCCTCATGATGAGGGACATACTTTTACTACCCAATTTCAATCCAGGAAATTAGTACAGCTCAGGGACATAACAGTCTCACGATAAATTACTAGAATGCTTTGATATCTCATGTGTATCCATGTGCACTTTCCCCATGTTCCAAAACACTAATACTTTAGTAAGCCAGAAGAAAAGACCTTAATTTATAAATTACATGAACAGACTGAATAGTAAACCCAAATGTTTAATTTATTTTGTAATCTTTCCTACTGTATACAAGGCATTAAGGCACAAAATACACTCCATTTAAAAAGCTCTTCAGAGACCGGATAGCAGTCTTCCTCCAGAATAGACCCTGGTTCCATTTGACTCATTACCTTTACCATCTTGAACAGACAAGTGTTTTTTGCTTTGATTCTTAGCAACATAGGAAAGCAGCAATCTAAACTTTGGCCTGTTTCCAGTCCAAGGTCGAGCCTTGAAGGATGTCAGTTAGAACAGTTCCCTAGGTGGAGGCCCCTAGAATCCATTTCTTGCTATTCCAAAGCTAAGAGTAATTATCCATATATTTGTGACTTTGACTCAATGCTAAATGGTAATCAATAACTAATTCTCTACAGAGATAGTAGGAACTGCAGATGCTGGAGAATCCGAGACAACAAGATGCAGGGCTGGATGAACACAGCAGGCCAAGCAGCATCATAGGAGCAGAGAGGCTGACGTTTCAGGCCTAGACCCTTCATCAGAAAAGGGGGAGGGGAAGGGGGTTTTGAAATAAATAGGGAGAGAGTGGGAGGCGGATAGAAGAGGGATAGAGGAGAGGATAGGTGGAGAGGAAACAAACAGGTCGAAGAGGCGGGGATGGGGCCAGGAAAGGTGAGTGTAGGTAGGGAGTTAGGAAGGGGATAGGTCAGTCCAGGGAGGACGGACAGGTCAAGGGGGCGGGATGAGGTTGGTCGGTAGGAGATGGAGGTGCGGCTTGAGGTGGGAGGAGGGGATAGGTGGGAGGAAGAACAGGTTAGGGAGGCAGGGACGAGCTGGACTGGTTTTGGGATGCGGTAGGGGGAGGGGAGATTTTGAAACTTGTGAAATCCACATTGATACCATTGGGCTGCAGGGTTCCCAAGCGGAATATGAGTTGCTGTTCCTGCAACCTTCGGGTGGCATCGTTGTGGCACTGCAGGAGGCCCAGGATGGACATGTCGTCTGAGGAATGGGAGGGGGAGTTGAAATGGTTCGCGACTGGGAGGTGCAGTTGTTTATTGCGAACCGAGCGTAGGTGTTCTGCAAAGCGGTCCCCGAGTCTCCGCTTGGTTTCCCCGATGTAGAGGAAGCCACACCGGGTACAGCGGATGCAGTATACCACATTGGCAGATGTGCAGGTGAACATCTGCTTGATGTGGAAAGTCTTCTTGGGGCCTGGGATGGGGGTGAGGGAGGAGGTATGGGGGCAGGTGTAGCACTTCCTGCGGTTGCAGGGAAAAGTGCCGGGTGTGGTGGAGCTGGAGGGGAGTGTGGAGCGGACAAGGGAGTCACGGAGAGAGTTGTCCCTCCGGAAAGCAGATAAAGGTGGGGAGGGAAAGATGTCTTTGGTGGTGGGGTCGGATTGCAGATGGCGGAAGTGTCGGAGGATGATGCGTTGGATCCGGAGGTTGGTGGGGTGGTACGTGAGGACGAGGGGGATTCTTTTTTGGTTTTTATTGCGTGGACGGGGTGTGAGGGATGAGGTGCGGGAGATGTGGGAGACACGGTTGAGGGCGTTCTCGACCACCGAGGAGGGGAAGTTACGGTCCTTGAAAAACGAGGACAACTGAGATGTACGGGAGTGGAATGCCTCATCCTGGGAGCAGATGCGGCGGAGGCGAAGGAATTGGGAATAGGGGATAGCATTTTTGCAGGAAGGTGGGTGGGAGGAGGAGTATTCTAGGTAGCTGTGGGAGTCGGTGGGCTTGAAATGAATATCGGTTTCTCGGTGGTTGCCCGATATGGAGACAGAAAGGTCCAGGAAGGGGAGAGAGGTGTTAGAGATGGTCCAGGTAAACTTAAGGTTGGGGTGGAAGGTGTTAGTGAAGTGTATGAACTGTTCGAGCTCCTCGTGGGAGCACGAGGCGGCGCCGATACAGTCATCAATGTAACGGAGGAAGAGGTGGGGTTTAGTGCCGGTGTAGGTACGGAAGAGGGATTGTTCCACGTAACCTACAAAGAGGCAGGCGTAGCTTGGGCCCATGCGGGTACCCATGGCTACCCCCTTTGTCTGTAGGAAGTGGGAGGAATTGAAAGAGAAGTTGTTGAGTGTGAGGACGAGTTCGGCTAAGCGGATGATGGTATCAGTGGAGGGGGACTGGTCGGGCCTGCGGGACAGGAAGAAGCGGAGGGCCTTAAGGCCATCTGCATGGGGAATGCAGGTGTAGAGGGACTGGACGTCCATGGTAAAGATGAGGTGTTGGGGACCGGGGAATTGGAAGTTCTGGAGGAGGTGGAGGGTGTGGGTGGTGTCACGGACATAGGTAGGGAGTTCCTGGACCAAGGGGGAGAAAATGGAGTCTAGATAGTTGGAGATCAGTTTGGTGGGGCAGGAGCAGGCGGAGACAACTCTCTCCGTGACTCCCTTGTCCGCTCCACACTCCCCTCCAGCTCCACCACACCCGGCACTTTTCCCTGCAACCGCAGGAAGTGCTACACCTGCCCCCATACCTCCTCCCTCACCCCCATCCCAGGCCCCAAGAAGACTTTCCACATCAAGCAGATGTTCACCTGCACATCTGCCAATGTGGTATACTGCATCCACTGTACCCTGTGTGGCTTCCACTACATCGGGGAAACCAAGCGGAGACTCGGGGACCACTTTGCAGAACACCTACGCTCGGTTCGCAACAAACAACTGCACCTCCCAGTCGCGAACCATTTCAACTCCCCCTCCCATTCCTCAGACGACATGTCCATCCTGGGCCTTCTGCAGTGCCACAACGATGCCACCCGAAGGTTGCAGGAACAGCAACTCATATTCCGCTTGGGAACCCTGCAGCCCAATGGTATCAATGTGGATTTCACAAGTTTCAAAATCTCCCCTCCCCCTACCGCATCCCAAAACCAGTCCAGCTCGTCCCTGCCTCCCTAACCTGTTCTTCCTCCCACCTATCCCCTCCTCCCATCTCAAGCCGCACCTCCATCTCCTACCGACTAACCTCATCCCGCCCCCTTGACCTGTCCGTCCTCCCTGGACTGACCTATCCCCTTCCTAACTCCCTACCTACACTCACCTTTACTGGCTCCATCCCCGCCTCTTCGACCTGTTTGTTTCCCCTCCACCTATCCTCTCCTCTATCCCTCTTCTATCCGCCTCCCACTCTCTCCCTATTTATTTCAAAACCCCCTTCCCCTCCCCCTTTTCTGATGAAGGGTCTAGGCCCGAAACGTCAGCCTCTCTGCTCCTATGATGCTCCTTGGCCTGCTGCGTTCATCCAGCCCTGCACCTTGTTGTCACTAATTCTCTACATGTCTGTTTAGCTAAAATATACGTTCACCTCCTCCACTTTCCTTTGGGCTGCTTTGAGGAGTTTCCATTCTTAGCTTTGATTACAATATACACAACTTACCCGATATTGCTAACATCTTGGCTTCTAAGAGAATTGGAAGCTGCATTTCAATGTCACTCGCCTTCCCACTCAGTTTGCTGCATTGCTTTTGGCTACTGAAGATCTAAATATGTAAAAATACAAATATTTATGAAAAGTAATTTGCCATTAGTAGGTTGCAGGAAGTACAAAATATGAACTGCAATGTGTAAAACTGTTTTCTGCATTGTCTAAAGAAGCACATTGTTGTCACTTGAGCTTGTAACAGTCTGGTTTGGACTGTGTCCTTGTTGAACTAGCTCTATGGTGGTAGAGGTCACAAGATAAATGCAAGCTAGGAACATTAGTGAAGTATTGCATTTCAATCTCAAACATCTTTCCAATCTAAAGAAAAATGTATGCATTATTATTTACATTGTGAATTGCCCAAGTTACCCATTATGTATACAAGTATTCTCATGTATTAGCAGTTTATTATTTACAGTCTCTGCACCAGATCGTGCACAGTCTTTAAACTGTGACAGCCTCTTAATGATACTTGTGCACATTTTTGCCTATTTATCTGGGTGATGTTCCTTTGTCACTTCAGTGTCACCCGTTTTTGCAGCAACTCCATTGTTGGGAGCGCTGAGGATCTCTAGGACTGGTGGTCAATCTGTGGCTCAATACAAAAAGTAAGTTCACATTTTCCTGCTTCACTGCAGTGAAAAGACAACTTTTCCAGTTCACCATCTTAATTTGGAAACATAATGTCATTCCTTCACTTTTGCTGGATCAAAATTTTGGAATTCCCTCCCTAACAGCACTGTGGGTTTACGTACATCAAATGGGCTGCAACAGTTCAAGAAAGCAACTCACCACCATCTTCTCAAGGTCAATCAGGAATGGGCGTCAAATGCTGGCCTGGCCTTTGAAGTCCTGATCTCCAAAATTCATTAAAAATAAATTTAAAAAATTGACTTGATGTTCTCCTTCTGCACTCATCATTCCCACCATCACAAATTGGTAACCACCTATTGAACTGACTGAACATACTGCATGGAGTACAAAATTTTGTCAGATATCTCTCATGTGGCCATCCACACCTGTTTGTTCTGCTTTCTTTGGCCAAACATGAGTACAAAATAAATTGGCTTCTTGCAGTGAGAACACAGTTTTCTTCAGTGGAGTTGCTTTCTTTTCCTTTGTGTGTTGTTCTTTGCAATGTTTTCATCTTGTACCAATCAATCAGGAAGTGCTATGGAAGATCCTATCAAAGGCCAGCTGACCAGTGAAATTCATCAACACCCTCCATCTCCTTTACAGCAAGATTTTGGTGACTTTTTGGTGACAATTTTGTCCTCACTAATGGTAATATGACAGAATCCTCTGAGGTCAAGATGAAGCTCAATCAGGGATATCATCACACATACCCTTTTCTCCATCTTTATCGTCACCATTCTTCATCTTGTCAAGTACAAGCTTCCCACTGGTGTGAGCAGTGTCTACAGGATGGACAGAAAATTTTTCAACTTCAACTGGTTGAAATACAAGAAGAAATGTCACTGACATCTTTTGTGGAGCTTCAGTATGTGGATGACAATGTCATCTCTGCTCTCTCAGAAGGAAATCTTCAAGCCTTGCCTAATGCCTTTGCAGGAGCATACCAAAAGAACTTGTCTCAATCGCAACCTCAAGAAGACTCAAATCCTTTACCAACCTGTCCCAGGTCAAGTTCTGGTCCATCCCTCTATTCAGTTCAATGGAGAAATCCTCCAAAACATGGGACATTTCCCTTACCTGGGAAGCTACCTCTGATCTAAGGCTGACATCAATGTAGAGATTCAACATCACATCCAATCGACTAGCAGGCCTTCAAATGCCCAAGGATGAGAGTTTTCAATGACCATGCCATCCATGTTGATACCAAGATCCTCGTGTTTAAGGCAGTCCAATTTCCAATTCTTCTATATAGCTGAGAAGCTTGGGTTACATAAAGACGTCGCCTCAAAACATTTGAGAATTGTTATCAATGCTGTTGAGATGGATTCTCCACATCAGCTAGGAGGACAGGCATACTATAACTAGTGTCCTTGAAGCAGCCATTTGCACCAGCATAGAACCTATGATCAAATGAAACCAACTCTGCTGGCCGGCTACGGGTTAGGATGCCAAAACAAATAATCTTTGCCCATTCGAGGAAGGCACTCAGACGAGAGAAGGACAAAGGAAGCATTTCAAAGATTCCTTAAAAGCTTCCCTCAAGAAATGTAGCATAGATGCCAAAGCATGGGAGACCCACGTTCAGAAGAAACCAATTCGGTATGGAAGGGACACAATTCCTCAAGAACACCCATCCACAAGAGGAGGTACAGAAAAGGAACCGAAGAAAGGAATGCCACGATCTCAATGATCACTTCCACCTCCCAGAAACACCTGTCAAATGTGTGGACAGATGCTGCTTTAGGATTGGGTTCAACAGCATGCAGGGACCCATAAAACCCACAACCAGTGACACAGAATTTCCTAGGTGGACAATCACACTCGTTAGTGAGTGATCGCCAACGATGTTCTTTCTGCCCTTTAGCCTTATCAACATAATGATAAATCTGGTCTGTTCTGCAATGAACATGCTCTAGTTGCTGATTAACAACATTCATGCTTTTGCATGGGTCGATCGCTTTCCTGAGAGTATGTTTTGCCTCTCTCAGTAGATGCACTGCCACTGTGGGATCATTTACGCCTAAAATAAACCAGTCTTTAATTAATCTTTCAATTGTGCAAATTCACAGGATTCTGCGAGCTGTGTCAATGCTGTCACATATTGATCTATGGAATCACCTTGACACCTAACAATGAACAACCACCATTTGTATGCTAAATTCACTTGGATTTCTGAATTTGGATTTCAGCCTTCTAGACTTTCCAAATTTCTTCCATCTGTGCTTTTCTGATTTTCAGAGAGATTTAAGGTGGATAAGCTTAAAGTATTATCTCCCCAATAATGATAAAACTGAAGCTACTCATAGCTACTGTGGTCTGTTCATTACATCTATAAATCTTGCAGTTCTGCCATTGCAAATGAAAACATTACCAGTTCTGTTTCATATTGCCCTTAATTTTGACAGGCACTAGGAGGGGAAAGTTTTCAGTCAGTATCGTACTAGTATTCAGCTGTGACCTGCTTACTTTTTTTCCTTTACTATAGCTGTTAGCAGATTTCAGTAGCTCTGAGCATTCCAGTGTTCCTCTTTTTAGTAGTTCAGTAGTTATTCTTCCATACGGCTCTTCAACATTTAATATCAGCTCGACTCTGACACTATCTGGCTTACAGGATTAATAGTGCACTGTGTCCTTATTGAACTAACTGTAAGATGGATGTCTGCAGCTAGTGCTTCATAGTAGTGGTCACCTGACTGCAGTAAGCCAGGTGGTACGGTAATACAGCATTGCATTTCTATCTCAAAAACTCACTGAAACATTCCAGTTTATAAGATGGGGCCCCAGAAAATACCAGGGATTCATTCAGGAAGGCATCAAGCCCCACAACAAAAAAATTCACTGGGAACAAGCAGAGATGAAATCAAGGTGTTGGAGAGAGCACACAAAATTCCAAATAACTTATTTACTGGACTCTCTGGAGAGTACAGAGTCTTCAGTTCATGCATTGGAATTAACAGCCATCATGAAACCCACCAAACATGGGGAAACAAATTAACCCTGATCCTGAAGGGTTACCTAGGAGAAGGGCCTTAGTATTTGCGGGAACACAAGGAGGTTATAGAGAGCTTGGCAGAAACCAAGCAAGGTTGAAGACTTATAGGTTCTGATGATAAAGAAAAGCAAAACCTCATTATCTTCTGTATCCTGCTCAGCAGTTGATCAGATTGTCAGACTGGCTGAAACTGGCTGCAGCCAGGAACTCTTGGAGGAGGATGAAGGAAGCAGCAATCAATAGGGCAAGAAGTTAAGACTTGTTAGCAGGAAGTGGGAATGGGAGGTGGGGAATGTGAGATCAAGCCCTGATGATGTGGTCAAGAGCTTGTAATTGAGAGGTTGGGAGTAAAATATCAGGGGTTAGTGGGTGGGAAAGAAAGTACCAATTGGGAGGCAGGAAGCAAAGGGGCAGTCAGGACTTGAGTGTGCAAGGAAATAACAGAGAACTGGGGTTAGGGTAGCATAGCTGTTATTTACTGGACAAATAATCCAGAAACCTTGTGTGATGCTTCAGAGACACATACAACTGAGGAATTTAAATGCAAGTATATCAAATCCAGAATAAAAACCTATTAATAATAATGGTGACCATGAAACTAGCAGATTGACATAAAAAGTCACCTGATTCATTATTGCACTTTAGCAGAGGAAACATGCCATTCTTGCCTAGACTACACTATATACTGTAGACCCATAACAAATACTGAATAGAAAAGTTTTCAATGAGATCACCTTTGATTCTCCTTAGTTCAAATGGGTATAGATCTAATGTGCTCAATTTTTCCTCATAAGTTAACATCTTATCCAATTTAATAATTGAGTGAGTCTTCTCTGGCCTGCTTCTTATGCAACTACAACTTTTCTTAAGTATTCTAGATAACAAACAGTGCAGCTATCGCAACACTTGCCAACTTTTACACAGAATTCCCTTTGAAATAATGCTGATATTCCACTTGCTGTCCTAAATCATTTGCTGGACCTGCATTCTAATTTATTATCATTTATGTCTCAGGTTACCCAGATCCGTCTTTACAGTAGAGTTTTGCAGTTATCTCTCTATTCAAACAATATATTGCTTTGCTGTTCTTCCTGCCAAAATGAACAAGTTCATATTTTCAAACATTACATTCCACTTGCCAAATTTATGCCCACTCATTTAACTTATCTACATCCCTTTGTAAACTCTTTATGTCCCTTTCACAATGTACTTTATTACCTATCAGTGTTATCAGTAAATTTAGCTACTATGTATTTGATCCCTTCATCTAAGTCATTGATGTAGATTGTGAATAGAAAAGTTATAGCACAGTTAGAGGTCATTCAGGCCACCATGTCTGCACTGGCTGAATTAGATATCTTCCATTTACCAGCATCTGGTCTGTAAACCTTGTAGGTTACAGCACTTCAGGTGTAGATCCAGGTTCATTTCAACTGAGTTAAGGATTGCCACCTCAATCACCAAACTAGGCAGGGTGTTCCAAACACAAGTTGAGGCCCCAGGAATGCCCCCTGTGGCAGTCCTTGAGCAACAATAACCCATTTATCCCACTTTCTGCTTCCTAACCAATTCTTTATCTATGCTAATATGTTACTTCCTAAGGCAGGAACTCCTATTTTGTGTAGCAGCCTTTAATGAGGATTCTATCGAATGCCTTTTGTAAGTCCAAGTACTTCACATCTACAGGTTTCCCCTTATCCAATTTGCTTGTTCCTTCCTCAATTTGCTATCATGACCTACTGGGATAGTGTGCCATAAATCAAGCCCCAACTATTCCTGGAGTCATACCAAATGTTTACGCTTGTTTTTAAGATTTGCAGCGTGTCCCACTTTAGCTGATTTTCAGATGAAGGTTGACAGATAGCACAGACCAAGTTTCTGCACGAAACAAGAATTATTATTTATGAGGAATTAAGGCTATAGCTACAGGTTCACAGATATAAATCATTGGCATATACAACACTAACTAAAATTCGAACCATCTAATAAACAGACAAATAGGGAAAATACATTATTGGCAGAGGTAGAAAAAAAAGTAAAACAGTTTGGTGGTAACACAGTGTGGAGCTGGAGGAACACAGCAGGCCAGGCAACATCAGAGGAGCAGGAAAGTTGACATTTTGGGTC